ATTTTATCCACATTGTGCAACTTACAGCAGAAAAACTGTGAGCCATAATGCAGATTTCTTTGTTTTAAACTCAGAAAGGACAACATCTGTGATGATATCAAGAGTCCATGCATTATCATCGCCATTCGCCATTCATAAAAATATGCAATGCGGCAAAGTAACCTTCCTTTAAGCCTCACACAGTCAATCTCAGAAGAAAGAGCCCTGCAAAAAACAACAAACAAATGCCCCAAGATTCCACTCTGATTCAAAGGTACTGTCGAAGTGTGTGGCGTGATATATGAGATGGTGGCTAATATGTAAAGTGCTATTAATCTCTTTTTGTCCTGTCTCGGAAAGGTCAGAATTTGCAAATATGAGTCTGGAGTCGCTCGAGCTGTTGAGGTAAGGGATCCAAGGTTGAATCAAAGGCAGTGGCTCACAGCTGCGCAGAGTGATGTACACTGTTTGTTTACTAATGACATGTACAAGTCTGCAAAGCAGTTAATTAATTGTTCAATAAGCAAAACATGCAGCATATGGTAATATAATCCAATGATTACTACCACCGATACGACTACTACTAATAACGAAAACAACAGAGAAAACCCCTGGCAATTTGTTTACACTTATGAGTAATATTATATTTTATATGTTCTCCACTTACAAGCTTATGATAAGTCCAAGCTTATGTTTCTTCTGTTACAAGCATGGCTACATGCTGCCTGGTGTTTAAGGCCTTTTGAATAACTCATTTATGATATTTTTCTGAGCAACCATTTTCCTCAGATATAGCCAATAAAAACTAGACCTGGAGGGTGAAAACTGGGGTGGGTGGAGATCCATATAGGAGAATGAGCAGGTCCAGAGGCGGTGAAGCAGATGTAATGGATCAGTGAGTTTTTCTGACCTCTGGTGTTTGTCAGTATAATCATCTAAACTGCTTACGAATGGTGTCATTTTGCAGATTTGTCCAGCCAAAACGGCTGTATAGTCCTTAACGATCATTCATCCATTTGTGACCAAGCAAACAAACATGCTTTTTAGCTTGAGCTGTTGAGCAGCTGGACAAAGCATTATTCTTTTTAATCATAATTAAGCCACAGAACGAATTTAACCCCTTAAAGCATTGGGTCAGCCAACAAAGCTGATGGTGTTAACAGTGAATCAAAGTGAACGGCCAACCATTAGCTTTCTTTTTGTCCATCCTTTGCTGATTCTGTTCTTCAGAAATGGCTTCATACGAGATGTTGGAACAAAGGTGAGGTCAGGTACTGATATTGGATGATTAACAGGTGATTGATGGTTAAGTGATCTCAACAGAATACAGTGCTGTGCCAAAGTCTAAGGCCAGCTTTTCATATAGGGCAACCCAAATGTTAGGAAAAGCCATTTTGTCCTTTCAGTAAAAATCAACCCACTTTGGGACTCACAACATTTTATGTCCATTTTACCATATTGGCTGTAAATATGTCTCAGGTGTGCTAATGTACTAGTATAGGCTAACAAATTTAATATAAACGAAAACGCAGACTTTGCTCTGATTTAAGCTTTAGCTCAGCTGTAGCTGCTTTTCTCACATCTCTGGCAGGAAACTTTTCAAAAAATGGAAGAGTTTCTCGTACAATGTCTCTCAACATTTGACTTCTTTTATGAAGCTGAAATCAGCTTCTCAGTCTCCAGCTTCTTTTTCAAATTTTCCCTTTTTAAGGTGGAGCAGGAAAATTAGAACACAAAGCTAGACTTGTTAGTGTTTGACCGTTTCTTGCTGCAGATTAAACGTATCAGGAAACCAGCTGGAGTGACTATAAACATAAATAAGTCCATTCATCTCCAAATTATCGATGTTCATCTTAAACCTCTCTCTCTTCTGTTTCGTTAGCTACTAGCTAGGCGAGATTGTTGTCTGCGTTGCTATGGTGACCATGAGTCTGTGCTGATCTTCAGGGTTAAAGGGTGAATTAGCAGTTCTACATTAACTCCAGAGTTTAAGACCATTTATTGTTAAACTGTGTTGAACGATCAGCAGAGCTTTATTTTACTGTAAAGGAGGATTATTTTATTTTTACCTACAAATCTGATTCTGCTGTGGAGCCGGAATGGGGCAGTGAAAGAGCTGCATGCGTCATATAGGGGTATTTTTCCAAACCTCCAAAGTTCAGTCTTAGAAGTTGGTTGCATTTTCTCCTTCTCATGATCCGAGTAATCCCAGCTGCAGGTAGACTCATCAGTTAATGAAACCTTACTCCATATTTTAGATCTCAGATGCCCAGTTTTGGTGTTCTAGTGCAAATTATCTTCTTTGTTGCCAACAGTCTTTTCTCAGTAACGGCTACTTGACAGCTACACATCCTTTCAGAACCACAGCGCGGAGAACAGAAACACCTGATCTGAAGCGAGTGGGGCTTTATTGTTTCCTCTCTCTCAAAGATGAAAGCTTGAAGAGCTGTATATCACGGATCAAGGATAGACTAGTATAGGGATTTACAGCTCCATTCTGTGATGCCCTGAAGATTCCTCTGAATGCTCCTTATCTAAATACCCTCTCAGACGACAGTAGTTAGTAAACAAATGTTTGGTGTCTGATCATATTTATCACACGGATTGCTGATAGGCCTGCCGGTGTCAGAACTGCATAATGTACAGATTCGTTTCACAGTAGCTACCAAATCATTTGAAGTAGTTACCAAAAATAATTCTTAAGACTAATAACTGGATAAAGAGCCTACAGTTTGACAAAATTACCATCATTTGTCTTTGGGCGAGAGTGTTCTCTGTGCCAGACACTGCTTTATGAGTTTAGACCTTCTCAGGAGCGGAAGAGGTGGCTTAAAACGTAAAAAAGCCCCTCTAGCTACACCTGGGGCAGGTATTGAGCAAGACTGGTAGTGCTCAACCACTTTGAACATGCAGTTTAATATATAACATTAGCAAGAAAATCAACGGCGTGTGCAGTTTGTTGGCTGTGGTAAATCTCACGTGGCTATAAAAGTCCATGTCAGCTGGTAGGACAAATGAAAAGGTTCTACACTGATATATAGCCCACGAGCCCCGGTTTGTGCCACCCTCAGGCTAGAGCATGGGACACTATTGATTCTGTGATTTGGCAGTTGCCTTGACGCCTGTTGAAGAGTTAGTATGTGGACCTGCTATTCAAAACTCATATTTCCAGTCAAACTTCAAGCGCAGAAGCATCATTATCAGCCTGGCAAACGTTCAGCAGCAACAGTTTGATGTTCATTAATCAAAACACATGCCACAGCGGTAAAGAATGGCACGGTGGCAGAAAACAAAGGAGTCCTGCTTTCTGAAATACATAATTGAGTCTAACGTTCACACTGCGCCATGTACCAACTGGGGTCTAATAAGTATAAGTGCCCAGCTGCAGTCTATTAAAACATGGCACTGACCGGCTGAATATCGCATCAGGGTCCCCAGCCGGGGACACACCATGTCATCTCGCTACAGCTGGATCGCTTTTCACAACTGATTCATCGGTGCTTAGTATTGAGAGAGATATTTTGTGGCTTAAAGCAGACGGTAAATAAGACGGTAATTAATACATTTATAAATTACTTATGATTATCATTACTAGCACTATTAATACTACATGCTTAAATGATGAAGGCTTCAAAGAGGGATCTTTGGAGTGATGATAAAAAAACGAGCAACTTTTAGGGACAGATTTAGGGCACAAAACTTTTGGCACGTGCGGAAATTTAGCGACCACAGCAGGCTCTAGTTTAAGCATCACATTTAAAGCAACTTAAAATGTAGTTTTTGTTTGTAGATATCGTTTTTATATTTTTTGTAGTTTTAATCAGTATTGTTTTATTTGTACCTCTATTCAGTTGTGGATTTCGGTTGCTGGGTTGATTGAGTCATGTGATGCAAGAATAACGAAGTATTGTATCATTAAATTGAATTATTGTTATACCCCTATTTTTCTGTAGTTATAACTAATATTATACTTCATATTTTTTCTACTTGTAGTGTTGACTACAAGTTGTCACTAAGAGCTAATGGCTCAAATCAGACAGTAAGTATAACTTTCGATCAATTAAGTACCCTTGATTACTACCAATACTACTACTACTAACCTACTACTAATAATAAAGATAACAATAACAACTACAAACATGCATTTCCTGAAGAAAATGCAGAACGATTGTGCAGCTTAAACGGTCCCACTTCCAGCTAGGCAGTTACTATGGTAACCCATGTGGTTGCTAGTGTGTTGCTACGCAGTTGCTAGGGTTTCCCATGCATTTGCTAAATTGCTGCTAGGCAGTTGCCATGGTGCATGGGGTGTTTTGTTGTCTGTATGAAGATATCATTTTGGTGGCTGTCAGTCAATGACAAACGGATGAGTGCAGGTCAGAACAACAGATAGTGTATGTTAAACAGTGTGTTTCTGTCAAGCAGATGGTCGTGCAGTTTTTCACCCCATTCATTCCTAAGGAAAAAATTCGGAATTTGACAAAAATTGTATGAAAACCCTGCATCCGATCAAAAAGCTATATACAAGCCCCAATCAGACCGGACAATCTGGAGTTGAAACGGTGTTGATATCTCAAACAATGCGGGCCGAGTTACGCAGCAAAAATCAGTAATAAAGAAGAATAATTGCAATGCGCAACCATAATAATGAGTAGTAGATTCTTCATAATCATAATCAAGAATAATGTTACATTTTGTATTTGTTCTACTTGCAGTGTTGCTTTTACTGCAAATAAAAGCTTCTACTTCTCACTTACTACGCGATACTTTGTGAATCAAACCATACAGGAAGAAAACATTTGAAGCCGAGGCTTAAACGGTGCAGTTTGCCTGAAAAAACGGGAGCAGTTTTTCAGACCATGAGGCTTTTGCGCTCCGAGGCCAAAAGTATTCAGGTTTTTTAAGTGGATCGTTGAAGTAATGAGCACAATTACGCCGCTTGGATCTCCACCGTAGTGCGGCGCTATGCATAACGAGCGATGAAAAAGGACAATTCCTCCACAAAGTGGTACTCTACTCACCCTGTACCAGACAATCTCCCGCAATCTGCCATCGGTCTTGAAGTTGCACTTCAGCGTCACAGTCTCTCCGACAACAACAGGTGGCAGGGGCTCTATTGTCACTGTCAAATACCCTGCAGGGCAGAAAGAGACATCATTATAACAGCGCTCATTTACACAGACTCGCGCGGGCGGCTGGCTGGTGCTATCTCGATTCAAGGTTCAATGGATTTAACAGAATTTGTGCACACTTGGAGTGAAAAAAGAGGAGGACTCTTCTTAACGTAGGACAAATTGTAATCCAAATCATCATCCATGAAATTAAGAGCCAGTTTTCTGGACACAGTCTGAGTCAAGTGTACCATATTATCATTACAGAGAGGTGGAGGGGTGAGGACAGAGTCGGGGGTCTTTACACTAGGCAAAGGTAGGCAGCCGCCTGGGGCAGCCATCAGCCAAGGGCCCTGTGCAAATATTGATTAGATATACCGTATGTGTTGATGTTAAATGACTAAATGACTACATATAATTTTAAAAATAGCTGATATTTGCAATTACAGTGACTATTTTCAGTAATTGTAACGCAGCGCCACCTCCTGGTCAGTTACAATGGACTATTCCATGTTGTTACGCGATGACACAATTGCGTGATGATGGACTGGTGTGAACAAGACCATTATAAAATTATAATTTACATTTGCAGAGAAGGTCCTTTGCATTTCTGGGTGTTGAGAGGGAAAAAAATTATCTAAGTGCAGCAGAGAAAAGCAAAAAGAGGGAGGAAAGAAAAATATTTGTTACTACAAAATTCCCAAAACTTAACTTCTCAGACTCCACAGGCTAAGCAGTACACTATGCTGGCATTGATGTTAGTATAGGCAGCTCTAGTGTTTCAAATTCTTCCATTCCAGTTAGTAATTACTAAAAAAAAGTACTTCCTGGAAAAAGTAATCTCACTACTCATTACTGCACTTCTATGTTACTCTGTACCAAATTATCTCACTATGTTGGCCGGTAAGTTTGTTGGTTTCAAGCACTATTTCTTAAAACATGCAAACTGATGTGCCAATGTAGTGAGATAATTTGACTTAATAAAATGACTAAACAAACAATATCCAGAATTAAGGTAAATGATCATATAACATTTTTACAACAATCTGAGAATTATAAAACAGATCGTTCCGGTCCTAAAATCTGACTGGCTGAGCTGCGTTTGAAGCCGTTGTAAAATCCACAATATACGCTCACCTATAACTGCCTCACAACAACTGAACTCTGTATCACTGCAGCACGAAGTAAGAACCTGTTTTTTTGTTTAAATTGATGGGCTGACAACTTATGTTCTTAACTAGAACTAGGCTGGTCAGCTAGCTAACAGGCTAAAAGATACCAAACAGCCTAAACAGCTCCATCATTTATATCACAGACTTGAATTAAAGTATTTACAGTATGATTAACTGCAAAACGGCAATATTCAAGTCTAAAAACGTCACTTGAATGCCTTACGCACTTCAAATATCCATGTTTCAGTCAGAAGTCGCGTCAAATCCAGGCTGAATCCCAAACGGCTCCGTACTCCCTAAATAGTGTTCTAGCTAGGAAAGTTTAGAAATTCTAGCCTCTACAGCCAAAGAGTGTGGATGAGTCTGAATCCCAAATAACTGTTTCTTAGCTGTATTTTGCTCTGTTGGGCTGCAGGATCCAGTATTTAAACTCCTATGTAGTGCACTATGTAGGGAGCAGGGAGTTGTTTGAGATCCAGCCCCAGTGTGACAAGAGGGCGCTGCTGGATTGGTGCTAAATAAGACTCCTGGTGGTAATTTGGTGACCAAAAATACTTGCAAAGTGAAAGTTATAAAAAAAATGTTAAAAAATCATGAAATGACCAATATACAGCGATGGGTGACCAAATGTTCTCCTCACTCAGCAGTCCACAGTTGCTTGGCAGTGATACTGTACTCTAAAGGAACCAGACTTTATCACCGGGAAGGGAGTTTTAGCTTCGCATCGTGCCTAAGAAAACCGTTACCATGATAAAATCGCAGAAGCGCACAGCCTCTTATGGCTTATTGCTTTGATATAGAAATATCGAGATAAATTTCTTTGCTGCGTAGATGGTTGCAACACTCGGTATCCCAGAGTCTCAACTAATCAAATAAAGGAGCATCCAGTATCTAGTACTGTTTGTTTAGAGCCCCAGAAAAACTAAATCCTCCCTAAATCCTAAACTAAATCCACTGCTGCTGACCCATTCAGAGACTATGTCCCTTTTAACTCTTTAAAATCTGCCTTTAGAGTAGTTGGGCTGTGTGCATGTCCATGTTGGTCAGAGTAAAATGTATCAGCATGTAGAATCGGAGCTCTTTGTGTGCTACCATGTTTCCTATCACTGTGTAAAAGAAGCTCCCTGCTGCCTTTATTGTTGGCACTGCATTAGTTTCTGAGCGAGCATGTGCACACATTCACTTCACTATGGAAACGCTTATCATTTTAACCATAACAACAATAAAAGGTGACTTAATTGTGAGGCATATTCCTATTCATGCATTTGCTTGTTGAAAATGGTAGTTTCATTTGGTAAACCACGTTGATCAGCTCAAAGACTGCTGAAAGATCTAGAACAGGGCTGCCCAAAGTGTGGCCTGTCAGAAAGCCAATGCCCTCCTCCAAAGAGAATGCAAACACATTTTTATACAAGATACAAATGATTAGGTTCTTATTGTGCTCGCTCTTATTTATCCTGCATTTGAGTCCCATCTACTTTCTTATTGGTACACTGTCTCGTCTTCTGGCTCTTGATCCACCACAAACATTGCACTTCGGCCTCCTCAAGGTAAAACGTTTGGCCACCCCTGCTCTAGAACGTTCTCCCACCATTCATTCTAATTGATTTTAGAGTCAGTTCGTTTTCAGAACATTTCTAAGGACGACCGCAAACCTTAGACTATTTCAGTTTGTCCTGCTCGGTGTACTCAGGCCTTGAGGCCATTCAAAACTCTGCACACACTGAAGCCTCTGCAGGGGGAAACAATGATTGCACTAATTGGATTTTTGGCCTGGCACTGTTTGCCGGCTTTCAAAATCTTGCATCAACTTTTATTTGTTATCAGAAAGTGAAGGATGAAAATCTGCACACGGAGACATACAAATATCACATTACCATCATACGGCTAAAGTGGTTCGGATTTGTAGGCATGTATCCCGCTCTAATTGCTGTCAGTGTTTTGCTCGTTGCAAAAAAATCGGGAGACGATGTAACACGAATATAGTTTGGCTTCATGCCAGGAGAAAAGATTTGTTCAGGCTAAAGTGTTCAGATTCAAACTGTGTGCTTTTTTTTGGCCACACACAAAAAACAACAACATCTTACTAAGATTTTACACCAATCAGGCATAAAATTATGACCACCTCCTTGTTTCTACACTCATTGTCCATTTTATCAGCTCCACTTACTATACAGGTGCACTTTGTAGTTCTACAGTTACAGACTGTAGTCCATCTGTTTCTCTGATACTTTGTTCGCCCCCTTTTACCCTGTTCTTCAGTGGTCAGGACCCCCATGGACCCTCACAGAGCAGGTACTATTTGGGTGGTGGATCATTCTCAGCACTGCAGTGACACTGACGTGGTGGTGGTGTGTTAGTGTGCGTTGCGCTGGTCTGAGTGGATCAGACACAGCAGTGCTGCTGGAGTTTTTAAACACCTCAGTGTCACTGCTGGACTGAGAATAGTCCACCAACCAAAAACATCCAGCCAACAGCGTCCTGTGGGCAGCGTCCTGTGACCACTGATGAAGGACTAGAGGATGACCAACACAAACTGTGCAGCAGCAGATGAGCTATCGTCTCTGACTTTACATCTACAAGGTGGACTGACAAGGTAGGAGTGTCTAATAGAGTGGACAGTGAGTGGACACAGTGTTTAAACTCCAGCAGCACTGCTGTGTCTGATCCACTCGCACCAGCGCAACACACACTAACACACCACCAACACGTCAGTGTTACTGCAGTGCTGAGAATGACCCACCACCCAAATAGTACCTGCTCTGTGAGGGTCCATGGGGGTCCTGACCACTGAAGAACAGGGTAAAAGGGGGCTAACAAAGTATCAGAGAAACAGATGGACTACAGTCTGTAACTGTAGAACTACAAAGTGCACCTATATAGTAAGTGGAGCTGATAAAATGAGCGTAGAAACAAGGTGGTGGTCATAATGTTATGCCTGATCGGTGTGTGATGTTATATTGTGTTAGAGCAGAAAGTGGTCTTTTCTGGCCGTGGACACTGCTTTTGAAATACGGATAAGACTCGCTGGCTATCTAGCGCCACCCACTGGACAAAAACTCCACTGGCCAGCTTTATTTATCAGCGTATGTATGACTTTTTACACTGATTCCTGTATTTAAGTCTTCACAAATGCCTTTGAGCAATATGCACATTGTGTGATTGATGCTGTTTCAATGTATGAAATGAATACATGGTGCTAAATCAGGAAGAATAATATCCGTCTATCTTTGATTGAACGTTCTGCTGATTTATTTCAGCTCCCGTCAATGTCAGCGCCTTTGGTTAGGAACAAAAAGTAATCTGCCAATGCAAATATGAATGTAAATGCAGCGTGCGCTGCGGTCGCCACCCTGGAACATTCCTCATATGTACAGTAATGAGATCTCGGTCGAAAGGATCTTTGCACTCATTTTCTCTGTGTATTAATTTCTGGATGTATGGTTCATATTCTGCTCAGCAAAAAAAAAAAAAATAAAAAACAGTTTGGTAGAAGCTCTTTTGCTTCATTAATTACAATAAGCACTGGACAGTTTGCCATCTGTTCCATTAGCGCTCTAAGTCAGTTAGGCTTGAGCAGCCTCACCCATGATTGAGCTCACTTCTGTTTAACTTGCACTACAGTGAACAATTAGACACCAAAGTTTTATACCCGTTTCTGATGACCCATATTTGATCTTTGGCACGTAGCATTCTTTATGAAGTGTTTTCTTACAACCAGTCTGTTCTAATTTGTGTTTAATGATGATCCATGAGAATAACGCTGTGCTATTTTGCACTGTAATTAATCATTTTTATATTATGAATAAAGCGTAAATGCCATTGAATGTTTACAGTTGTACTGGAGACAA